TAAATTTTTGACGGGAAAATTACTCATTGAACAGCTGGGTCATTTTCAAAAAACGACCGCTAAACGGAAATTGTTGATTTTCGTTTATGCAAAGTTTACGGTGATTTACGGCATCGAGCACACAAGATAGATGTGAAGAGAAACCATCCATGCAGTTAATTTAATTACTTTAAGTTTGGTGCGAAAATGCATGAATGCACCGGCTCGCGTGGTGCGTCCCAATCTTTCATTCCCCTTCTATAAAACTAGTGGTAATCCTGCGTGCTGGAAGTTAAGATTTCACACGGCCCCTTGATGAAAAACTGCTGTCCCAGTCGATGTCTTTCTTCTCCTGCATGCAGGAAAAGACCAGAAAAGTGCCAGCATGAGTGCAAAGAGCTATAAAGCAACAACCAGTCACATTGCTAACGGTCTGATTGTTTCAAATTTACACAGAAACGCATGATCACACCTGCAAGCCTGGTGCGCCGCTACCTGGGCTTGGATTTATAGGGTATTGCAGCACTGTGCGAAGAAGGGCTACCCGTTACAGCTCTCTCAAGGTCTATAAAAGTAGTGCAAATCTTCAGTTGTACAGGAAATGTTACGGAGAATATACGGGTTTTCGGATATTCACTGACGAAGTACTCACATCGCTGATGAGAAAAATATATTTGCCAAATACAGAATTTATTTTCAACCTTGGTGATTGGCCTTTGGCGAAATCTGACGGCAGTCCAGTGCCAATTGTGAGCTGGTGCGGTTCCAGAGGTATGATGATGTGTTAAAGGAGAAACCAGTCAATTTTCGTTGTAAATATGCTATTAAATTTTTAGGCTTATTTTTTAGTTTATAATTTGGCTAGCAGAAAAAAACAAAAAAATGCATAAATGTCGATTTCAGATACTGTGGATATTGTCCTGCCGACATATGAATTAACGAGATCCGTAATCGAATCGATGGAATCAACAACAATCGATATACATACCGCGAAAGGCGAAAAACATTACAGGTGGCCAGAAAAAAAAGACACAGCGATATTCCGAGGGCGCGATTCCAACAAGGTTTTCAGACACTTTAGAGCATTTTCTGCTTTTACATCAAATACTTCGAAGGCTAAATCCTGATAATTCGGATAATCCACTTTTTCTGCGTTTTCATATGTTTTCTACTGCGTAACAGCAACACAAAATGCAAATTTTCACTCCTCTATCTATATATGTGAGTTTGTTTGGGTGCGTGTGCGTGCATTCGAGCGCATTTTGTCCATCACTTTCAAATTGGGAACCACAAAAGCTAGGAAGTTGAAATTTAAGGAGAATGTTTCCTGCTCACTTGCGTCTTAGCAAATTCAAGTTTGTCCTTCACATATGCCTGGATTTCGCGTACGGCCTTGTGAAAGTCCTGGCGGAGAAATTATTTCGGAAAGTAGAGGAACTAGGAAGATGAGATTTTAGGAGAGTTTTTCTGCCTACACGACCTCACAAACTCAAATTCAGCGTCTGCCTACGCATGCCGACATCCCGCATACAGCCACGTGGGGTTTTGGCGCGAAATTCACTAATTTGGAAGCTAGGAAGCTGGAATTTTGAGGGGAAAATCCTCGTCCGTTTGCGATCCAAAAGTTTCATATCCAATTTTCACTTTCACCTAGTTTCCACGTACCGATAGCTGGAATTTTTACTAGGAAATTTCGCAGTTAACATCGACTGTTTTTGCATACAAAAAAGCACAAAACATCGAAAATTCTTACGAGGCAAACGTCCGCTGGATGGAATTGTGCAAGACGCATGGTCGCACCGGCTGCATGGCGCAGGCCGCTGTTTTGGGTTGAAAGATGAGATATCGTGCGTTGAAGGAAGGAAATGGTTTAATCTAGTCAGTAGTTCCCCTTGAACGTTCTGCATGTGAAACTTCTAGATACGATTAGAAGTGGCAAATTTGTCGAGATTCTATCCGGACGTTTTGGATGCAGGAATAACGAGATATTTCTTCTCCAACCAGTCACAACATACGCCGACAGTCAAAGTGATATCATTTCCGGATTTCTTTGAGGTTTGCTGCTTATTTTGACAACGAAATGTGAAACCCTGTGGCTTTATCATGGGTCAGAAACGCTCGAAAAGCTTGTATGAGAAAGCCAGTTTCTGTCATAATGATAGCTGTTTTACAAATGTGGTTTTTATGACACATACCTGTCAGGTACAATACCACGTCTCGTCCATGACGTATTTCTTGTTAAACGCCATAAATTCTCACTTTATCTTGACGCCCTTTACCCGAAATAGGTCTGACTTCCCTCCATTTCTACTTCAGATCTGAGTGTGTTCACATTTTTTCACGAAAGGATGATAGTTCGATTTGGCTATCAAAAAACGCGAAATAATATCATGAAAATGAATGCCCGAGAATTGCATCTAGCTCTGAAAGTGCCAAAAAATATGAAGCAGTAAAAGATCTTCCCAAGAGCTCTAACGAGCAGAGTACTTGAACTAATTTTCACCCACTTGCAGCACAAATTTATCTTGAGCATTGATGGCACGGTGGCCTCGTATCGTTTTCCGTTTCTTCTTGCTGGCGATAGTGTCATTTTCAAATCGGTATCGAATTTCTACGAGCATTACTATGCTGATTTAGAAGAAGGACTGCATTACTTTCATTTCAATTCAGACCTCGTCAAACAAATTAAAATGGCGAGAAAACGGGACTATAATATGGTAATCATCACGAATTCTTTGAGGCTTAACTGAAAGAATTTCGCAGTTTTGGAGGAATT